GGAGAGAATTACATAGATAAACATAGTTCTATAACGTTTTGTGTGTATATTTAGTATGAACATGTTAACGCATATTATATATAGATTTGAATGTTATTTTGTATAATATATATGTATTGAAGTTGAAATTTATAATGCAGGACCCCACTGAAAAGCACTTCGGTGACGTGGGTATCCTGGATAAATATAAATATAAAATAATACATATACCTTCCATTTTAAACATTTTCCAATGGGTTGCATATCCAAGACCCTATATATTTGAGTTGTTGAATGGCTCGCCTAAGTTTACCAAGCTTCCTACACTCTGAGTGACCAAGTTGTGGTATTTACATAAATGTAACACTGTATATCCGAAAATCTGTTTCAGAAAGCGCACAAATTGCACTCCTAGGGGTAGAAAAATAAAAAACCCTTTTCTGTGGACTAGAATACTCCCAGGGCCCCCTACTATTACATACGATACTACACCAACCTTTTGTCACCAACAACCATATCTGTCATCTAGCTCTTCACACTAAGTAGCCTATAGTATGAGCCCTTTTTGTAGATGCCTCCCCCAGGGACGAATTCTTAAAAAAGGCTCTATGTTATTTTGCAGAATTTATTGAAATTAAGTAAATTGGACACAGTTTAAAGGGATTAAACAGAATTATACAATAATAATAATAATAATAGTCTCAGTCTATCCCTGGGGATGGGCTTTAGTCAATTATTGGAGGTCTTAAAATCTGTCCTAAATATGTCTCCACCTTTCCTCAACGTTGGGGATGTAGGGGTTACAATTGACAAGTGCATTACCAGATTGGGTAATAAATTTATCGGAATCACGGATGCCCCAAATATTTTCAAGTTGCACCACTGATTATAGACTGTGGTCGTAATCATTGCAAAATGAGCTAAACTTGAAAATCGCGAATTTTCGTAGCCCAGGCGACGTAACGCTCAATGCAGATCAAGCGTCTGGTAGAAAGGAAGTTGGGAAATGTCTGAGTAAAGCATTTTTAAATTAACTGTACATTTTTAGAATATTGCTATTTTTAGTTTTGTAAAACTACTAAGTTATGTGATAAGAGCAGTGTCATCGTCTGTGCATCTTTCTTGGACATATTTTTTAACCTCGGAATATGTCGGCAATTGTCGGTTGAGCCGGCGCTATTGTATATAATAGTTGATAGTTGATGATCATGATTGTCAAGTTTTTGTTGTTATTATATGTACCAGACCTACTCTACCCTAGCCTGCGTAGCAGGCATTTAGTGCGGGCGGGAGAAGAGAGGGCGTCGTCGAGGAAACGCCTGCCCAAATGGCTATGACAAATGTGCTTTTGATCGAAAAAACTTCGGCTTAATTCCCATTGGTCAATCTCGTTGACGGAAGTAATTACGTAACTCAAATGTCAACAATAATTTTCCCGCGTATATATTCTCATAAAAATATGGCTATTAATGCTTTGGAGGAAACTCTTGCTGGTATTTCAAGTCTTAAGCTTTTAGGTTTCGAAATTCAGTTGAAACCAGAACAGAGAAAGTCTATTATTAATTTGCTACGTGGTGAAGACGTTATCGCAATTCTTCCTACGCTACGGGATACGAAAAAAGTTTGATCTTTCAGTTATACATTATCGCCAAATCAAAGCTTGCTACATGCCAGGATGAGCAGGGATCGAACATTTCTTATCGTTATTTGTCCTCTTGAAAGTATAATTCAAGACCAGATACATCAGGCTACATCACTTGGCAGTGCAGCTATGAAGTTGGACGATGATTTTAAGAACAACCACAGGCGGCCCAGACGTGTAATTTTGTAATGAATTTTATATTTTAAAATCTCCCTAGTTGCCGAGCAAAAACATGTATGATGTTAAATATAAATCTCGACTATGATTGGACAATGTGTAAACCGGCGAAGGTGCTAATTACAAAACGTCAGTCACCCTTAAATTAATGGGCTAAAACACATTTGTCATAGCCATTTGAGCAGGCGTTTCCTCGACGACGCCCTCTCTTCTCCAACCTCGTTCCCAGGCTCTTCCCTCTTGTGGAGGAAAGACCTTGGTCGGAGCTGGTCACGTGACCCATAGAAAATTGATAGCCTAAGGGGGGGGGGGGGTTTCCACTTCCGCACTTCACACTTCGATTGCAAGGAG